TGGGGACAGGTTCGAATAAGTGCAGCATGATTTCCGGAGGGGGGTTGGCAACGTGCATGTCGTGTTGATATACCGGCAATTTGAGTATGCTTGAGGCCCACATGCGCCAGTTCGCCTCGTGCGACATGTACGTCATGCCCCACTTTTCTTTGAGTCGACGTATCATCTCGTTGTGGGCACTTTCTGCCGCAGCGCCGGCAGGGTCTTGAGCTTGGGGGAAAATGCACTGCTCTTGGAATGTTCGTTAAATGCTTAATTGCCGCGACCGCATCAGTTGACGATGCCTTGTCTGTACGCCCAACGCATTATATCGTACGCCCTGGATTGGAATCTCATTGCTTCATTCTTTGTTAGGAAGGCATGACGAGCCTTCATGTGGCGGCAGAATACGGCAATTTGAAAGTGGTCAACGTTTTGCTGGATCTTGTTAACGCAAACACATACGCTCGGACATCTTTAAGTCCTGCGTCGTCATGAATAACCACAGCGCACTCACTTAGTATAGGACGGAGCGACACCGTTGCATGCAACGCGTCTGCGTGGCAAGTTGGGCGTGGTGATGGCTCTTCTGCAGCGCGCACCGGACCAAGTCGACACCCGTTTACCGGTCCTTCATCGTCGATCACGTTGAGCCTGTCGCTGAACCGAGTTTCTCGCATAAGAACGGAGCAACTCCACTGCAGGTGGCGAGCCAACTTGGCCACATCGATATGGTGCGCTTGCTGCTGATGCAGTCAGCCACCGTGAACATGGCGATGCATGTACAGCTGAACTCCCCAACGACCGACGAGAGATGTTGCTCATGCGTGGCTACATCAGGACAGCGCGACACCTCTCCACTTGGCATCACAGATGGGGCATCTGGAGTAGTGCAATTGCTCTTGGACAAATCCTGAGGCCCAGAAGAAAGTACGATTGCCTCATGAGTGAACGACCTTGTGTATTTCGACTCTTGGCTCGGAATGGGTAGGACTGGTGGACACCGCGGGAGTTAGCACGGAGGCATGACCACGTGGCAATTATATAGACGGTCATGCTCATGGAAATGCACCGATGCCGACGGCGCAGACTGCTGTGATGCAGGAAAGGACGGCGTTGCCACGCATGGTGCGGACCCTCGCTGTTGCTTTGTTCATCAACAACCATGTTGATCAAGGCCAGGTGTTGTATCAAGCTGCTTCTAAGGGTACGTACAACTTGGACAGAGAGATGCTCGAAGACGGCGCCGAAGTCGATTGGAAATCTCAGGTACGTGCACGCATCTTGAAGCGACCGCGCTCAGACACTTTGCCCGTAGGGCGGCGCCACGCCACTGTACGCGGCTGCAATGAACGGACACACGAACGTAGTCATGTTGTGGGTGCTGTATGGCGCCGACTTGAATGCAAAGACCAAGGTGCGTGTCGACGGGTCGATGACCTTGCTCAATCCAAAGTCTTGCAATACCCATGTCTGTGGCGGTGGCCAAGGGACATGTGGACGTAGTGACTGTGTTGCAATGGCAGTCAAGCAAACCCTGGTGGGACAACTTCAAAGTTTTCGCACAGCGTTGGGTTGGAAGACTTACGATTCGAGCTGCGACGATCTGTGTGTATATATCGTGGGGCGCTGGAATGTGGCACAAGACCAAGGCAATCAATGTGTACATTAAACTACTTTTTGAGGCAGTCAACAAGCGGCTCGAGTTGCATGGGACAACCGTCGTGGTTGCTAAGTACATTTCGTCCACTCGCAACCAGCCCGCCTTCAGTGGGGCGAAGCAATATATCGCAGACGAAATTGCCAAAACTGCTTGGTCCCGGACGACCGACCAACCGCAGCTCGGCGCACGTGCTCATGCAGATGTAGAACCCGCCGATGATCATCGATTGCGTCCATGAGTTGCATGCAAATCGCTCGCGATGTGGCGAAAAAATGGCATGGGGAGTGAGTGTTTATGCACGAATCAAACCCGACGCTGCTTTCATCCTGAATGAGCATGCGGACGACTCCTTGGCCGGTGTAATTTCCCTTGCGCGATGAAAGGTCTCAACATTGTCTGTCGGTATGGCCTGTGG